GAGAACGGTTAGAGCAAACCCAGGACTGTCGGATTTTGATACCGCACTTGAAATTCAATGCCAGCCAAAGCACCGTCAGAAGGATTCGTCAGCGAGAAGGACTACGATCTTTTCGGGCCAGTAAGCAACCAAATAGGACACTGAAGCAGAATCTAGTGGCCAAAAGACGTGACCGGAAGTTGTACAATGAGGTTCTTACAAAGTACGAAGGATGCATCCTCATGGACGACATAATTCTATGAATTTGTGTTACTTGGGGTGATATTTTTTTGAGAATTCAAAGGAGAGTTCCAAAAGAATTCTGATGAGCATTACAAAGAATTTATGGGAGTCCTGAGCAGAAATTCCTAGAAAAATTCTATAGGAATTTCTGGAGAATAAAAAGTGAATGCTGAGCAAAACTCCAAGTGAATTTTCCGGAAAAATCTCCGGGGAATTCCTAGGTATTGCTGCATAAATTAATAATAATTCGAAGAGCATTGCAGATTGAATTCAATGGTTGTCAAGAGTATTATCATAGAGGTAACTCTAAGACTAGTGGGTCCCGAAGAAATGTGCTCAACTTTTTGGCTCAGCTCTGGTACTATCTTCGGTCCCAAGCTAATCGATTCACCGCTCGAAACATAGGAAAATCTACTAACCCCTCATTTTATCTGTCAAACTTTCATAGCGAATCAAAACAAACAGTGCGTAGTACTAGAATTTCGACTAGAATGGGGTACGTTAATCGTTTGCTTGGGACCAATAGGCTAGTCAAGTAGTGAGCCAATTTAAAATCGTTAGTTTCGTATTGATTGTTGCTACTAGTCTTAGAGTTACCTCTATGGTATGACTCATCTGCAGTGGGGGGATATTTGATGGTTTTCATCGGTGGTCCATTATTGGTTTTCATTGGTATTACATTTCGGAAGGTACCACAGCTACATAAGATTGTGAACTTTGTAAGCTTGAACGTGTGGAAGGAGACATCATAATCAGTGACACGATAGACTTGGGGGATTTCTCCATCTCACGTACTCACGTACTCCTAGGTCTATCAGATGAACTGGTTCGAGGATAGTGTTTCTAGGCTACGATTGAACTTTCACCCGTTTAATTTCTGGTTTTGATTTTGTCGGGGAGCATTTAACCATAGAGGTAACTCTAAGACCAGAAGGTCCCGAAGAAACGAGCTCAACTTTTTGGCTCAGCTCTGGTACTATCTTCGGTCCCAAGCTAATCGATTCACCCCTCGAAACACCCATTAAATCCATTAACCCCTCATTTTATCGGTCAAACTTTCATAGCGAATCAAAACAAACATAGTGTAGTACTAGAATTTCGACTAGAATGGCGTACGTTAATCGATTTTCTTGGGACCAATTTAAAATCGATAGTTTCGTATTGATGGTTGATTTAACGCTGGAGGAAATTTCGTCCATCATCAATCAGGTTACAAATTCCTTTCTGGACACGTTTCTTTTGGACGGGTCGAATTTGCCGTATAGGTTGGATGGCTTCCAGTTCCTCTTCCACTGGCCATCATAATCCGTCAAAGATATTGAAAATGTAAACACAATCACAAAAGCCATTATAACGTCAGGGTTGCCAAATTCATGAGATATTGACACCTTGATTGGCCTACTTCGACACGTTCGGCACAGCGCTTGGCACAGCTAAATTTTGCGGCACAAATTACGGTGCGCAGAGTTGAATATCCCTTGGAAAACATTAAAAAATAATTATTAGAAATATACTATTGCAACACCACTCGTATCAAGCACTCGTGGTATAAATTAAGACAAGCAATAAAATCAGCATTCCATCATTTTCCTAAGCCTTCCTGGTACCAAAGAAGAATACTAAGATGAAACAGTCGGAAGAGAAAAAAAAAAACATTCTATTTTAGTGTCCTCTTTCACGGTTCCTTTCATCCAATGAATACCCCTCGTATGCATGGTAATTTTGTGGTTATGCTGCCCCCTCGGTAGAGTGGAAATTTTCCTTTTTTTTTATTAAGACAATCACATCAAAATCAGAGGTGTCCCATTTTTTAATTGCTCGATTAATAACTAACATTTCAAATATAAGGGCCGTTCATAAACAATGAGACAATAACTGGACATCATAACTGGTACATAACTCTTTAACTTCAAAATTAGTAAGAACTTCCGCATAACCTCTTGATTTGTATAGAAGCTGTTCATGTACCTAGGGCAGTGCCGTCAACCGGTCAGCACTCGTGTTTATTTCAGTTACCGTGGGGACGTAATTTGTGATTAGCCCCGGTCCCTTTTTAAATTGTATCATTATTTCAGTGCCAACATTTCAAAGGGGCGTAATTGCATTTGTAAACAATGACTTTCGTCTACGATTTCTCGCGAATGAAAGCTCACTCATGAAAATGAATGACACCAGCAGGTAGATGAATGTTTCCTATCCCAGCTAGCATTGGTAATTTGGAGGGGTGGACTTTTATTTGCGAGAAATCTACGGCTTAAGCCATTGTTTACAAAAGCAATTACGCCCCTTTGAAATGTTGGCACCGATTTATGTACGGTCCTTATATTTGAAATGACGTTTCACATTCATCTAGTGATAGCGGATTTTCATTCAAATAATCGATTAATCGATTAACGAACCGAAAAGTAAAATATTTGTTTACGGTTATATCATGCCAATATGAGCATTAACTTCTCCAGAGGATCATCACCCATCGTTCCAAACATGGTATGTACTCTCATTGGTGGAAAAATGACAGCACAGCGAACAAAAAATAATGGATTATTGTTAATCGAGTAGTTAAAAAATGGGACATCTCTGATTTTGGTGTGATTGTTTTGATAAAAAAAGAGCGCAAAATTTCATCTCTACCGAGGGGGCAACAAAACCACAAAATTACCTTGCATACGGGGGTATTCATTGGATGAAAGGGACCGTGAAAGAGGACACTACAATTGGGTTGTTTAGGGGTATTGAGGTAAATACATATTCGTTATCTGCATTAAAAATGGAACCGAAATCCAACATTTCATCAATTGGTACACTGGAACTATTTTAAATAAGTACGATTACATGAGCAAAAATCACCATCTTAGCGCCCCTTGGTGGAACTTTGTATGGGAGTGAGCTGTCAACGAATCGATTTAGTGTCAACGATCAAAAATTTAAATATTGATTTAAAAATCGAGATGAATGTCTACGGGATCGATAAAAATATCGTTGTGCTCAGAAAACAAAGCTCTATCAGATGATGTATAAAAATCGATATATTTTTCTAAGTTAATCAACCCAATAGAAAGTTTTTCTTCCGACTGTTTCATCTTAGTATTCCTCTTTGCTCTTACCACTAATGATTGACCAATCATCTTTTTCAATCATTCATGAAGCAATACTAACGTTAATAAAATCGTTCTCTTTCACAATCACACGAAGTTTCTGATGGTCCGTGAGTTACAGCTATGGGAAAATAATTCTGAATTCACTTGGCTGATAGAACATTCTTCAGATAATCATTCTGTTATCAAATTTCTGTTCATGGAATTTGATTTTAGTTCAGTTGTTTAATTTCGAATTTAACGTTTCAATGTTCAGTTGTTCCAGTTATAACAGAATAAGGGGAGTTAAATGACTTCACTTTTTGAAATCTAGTATCTAGTTCGAAGTTCCGCATATGTTATGTGCTGCTAAACAGTTGATTGAGCATAATCATAAGGCATCAGTGACTTGAATGATTAATATCTTTTGTTCCTTATATTTGATCGAAAAGTGGTATTCAACAAAGTTGTAGCTGAAAAAATTTCTACAAGCAAGCTATCATTTTTAAAAGCAGAGTAAAATGGTGAATTTTGAGATATAGGAAAAATGGACGAAATGGTGGCCCTAAGTTGCCCCTAATTTGGGCCCATACGTAAATTCAGCAATCGACTAAATTTTCAATAGCGACCAAAAATATCCATTAGTACCGTCCCAATGACGCGTTCATCTAGATAAAATTGTTAAATAGCAGATTTTTAGCGATGGGCCCAATCTTAGATCCATAGGCCAACATTAGAGCCATTTCCCCTATAAAAACAAACATTTTTGTATTTCCATAGTAATTTTTAAGTTTATCATAAGGTTTGTGCCAAGTCAGTTTCTTAATAGATAAGTTAAATTTTTGGAAGCTAATCAGGCCCCAATTTGGAACCGTTTGAGCACCGTGGAGCGCATTTTGCATCAATATATTGAATATACCCTACACGTAGAAAAATCGGTCGTAGATCTCAAATAATTTCCCATGAATATATTATTATTAGGTCAGAATTATTTCTACATAATAGTTGCAGTCAATTTCATGATATTTTAATAATTCTTTAAGTCAGAAAGAAACTTATTGTCAAAAGTAAGTTGTGCACTGATTAATTTTTAAACAGTATCCATCAAATGTCTACCGAAGGTTGGCTTTCATCGGGGTTTTCATAAATCACTTGATCTAAATTGGGCTTTTAACTGTTCCTTATTTAATCGATCCTAATTTTTGAAACTAATCATGACATCTAATTATTAGTCTTCCATGTTTGCGTTTGACAGAGCAGCAAAGATCGATTGGTGTATGGAGTCTGTTGAAATTAAATTTTCTGACCGAATTTGTGGAACGAGAGGTTACTTTCAGTTTCAGTACCATTACATCACTTTGTGATAAACAATTCTTGGTCACATTTAGCTTAAGAGGGGCTACAGTTGCACTTGAATTAACTGAAATAGGTGAACTTCGCGAAGAATTCGATGTTTTTTACAACTGAATCATAAAATAGATCTGTCGCTCAAAAATTGCGTCTTCGATTCTAACAGATGAACAGAAATAATTCTAGAACTGGAGCTTCAGAATAAGCTACACTTCATTGCACCTATTCTTCTTAGCAAATTGTTGTCTGTTCATAGAGCTAATAGTGACAATTAATTTATGGAAAAAAAAACTCATTTGAACTTCTACACTGAATCCTTTAATCAACTACCACACCCATATGATTCGCACGTACCATTTTGTATTATTTTCTTCGCACTACTATATTCCACTAACAAATCAAACTTTCTGCTTTCCACTTTTCCCAACCAAAGCGACCAACTGGCAAGTCTAACCACAACAACGATCGAGCCGGTACGACCGGAGAGGAACCATCCGTAGTGACCGAAGTTACGGGTGCAACTGACCAGACCAACTGTGCGGAAAAACGTTTTTCCACCAAGCTTCCCGATCAGAGGAAAACCGACATCGACGACGCTGAGGAAGGTGGCAAGCGGCAGAGCCACTCCACCGCCTCCATCACTGCACGAGATCGCGTGGGCGATAGTCAGAGTAGTGATTCCGGAAAGATGCAGGCAGCTCCAGTTGCCTCACCGCCGAAAGGTGTTGATTTGGAGATTAGTGGTGGCAAAATTTCCCCCAAATACGGCCACGGGTTGTCTTCGGGCAGTATCAAGGCTGTCGGATGCACCCCGGCAGGAAAGATGCAGCGTGACTTGCTCGGCGATAGGAAACGGAGGTAAGGTTCATTTTTGGGGTGACATCCCGCATGTCAGTGGCGGTTAGCGTGGGCGGGCACACTTTCTCACGGTGGACTGTTTGCGCTGCAAATGCCAGGTTTGAAAGCCGTGTCGAACGATGGATGCAGTATGCAGCTTTGGCACTTTGCTGTCACGAAAGTAATCCGGACACGTCTGGTCGGGTTGCTCGGGAGAGTGCATTTTGGATCATTTGGTGGTGATATATGACGCCCCGTGCAAATTGAGTCCGTTAAATAGAGCATCCACATCTGAATATAATTTCAAGCGTAGTACGTGTAACGATTCCATTCTGTAAATATGAAGACGCCTAATGGAACTTCCATTAACTTCTTTTTTCTACCTATCTCGGGACCTATCAATAGGAAGGCAATTACAATTGTAAGATTCCCCACCACGATAGAGATGCTTCTTATGAAGAGAATCCAACGAACGGTGCCACACGCCATTAAACGGCGGCGCTTTTGAATTAACACTCGATCCAGATTATGTACATCGATCAAACATTTCGTGACGATTGCTGGCTTGCAACTTCTGTAGTACCCAGGTCCCATTAAGTCACAATATAGAGAACCCCACGCCTAGTGCAGAGTAACACTTTGTCTGCAGTGCGGTAAATTGGTTCATGTCAAAATCGAGTTTGAATTTTCAACTATCAGATCGATGCAAATTTGGAATCTTGCAGCTTATAGACAAGATGAACAATGACAAAATTTTACCGTGATAATCCAATTCAGCACACAGCCGACATCATTAAACGGTGCGAAGGAATCCGCCGAGCAAACAGACGATCTAACGTGCTAATTGGCCTGCTCGCTCAGGTGAACGCACGGCTCGACAAATCATCTTTGTTGCAATTAACCGTTTTAGGGTGATTCAAATATGACGTCCATAAGTTTTACGATATTGTTTACCCGCCTCGCCGCTGTGTCCCGAATACTTATTACACGTACTGTCACACATTTTAGGAGCCCCTTGGCCCACCTCAAAAGAGGACGTCCTATTTGGATCACCCCTTCGGTGATGTGGGGTGATGGTCGCCGAACTGCTTTGAGCAACACCCCGTCCGTATTTACCCCATGCATTTCCTGGTGCTCCTGCTGGCGAACGTTCAAAAGATTGGGAACATTTTTCATCGCACCCGGACAGGTGGCTCGTGTGTTTCGCGGGTATAGAAGGTGCACACAAAGTAGCTAGTTTAGCTGGGCAATGTGATTGCTTGGAGAAGATCAAGGTGGAAACAAAAGTGCTTATGGCTTTCGAATCAGGGCAGTGCAATTTATTGTTGTACAATAAGGGCGGAACAAATTAATACTTTTACTTTTGTCATACTAAAGAAACTTGAATATGCAAAGAGACGCCATCAGATTGCCTGAGAACGCAAAACTGTCATTGTTGAAAACTTCGCTCAGCGTTGCCAAATTGTTTAAAGCTTGGTATTCTTGCGCTCCCCACCCCCCTCTTCACCCTGCGTATACAATTGTCCATACACGATACACAATTTGTATGGGCTGTGGATAAGTCAATGAAACTGTTTTTAATAATAGGAGCTTTAAACTTAGCCAAAACGCTCCTGTAGTTTTTTTGAACCTAATAAGGAGTTAAAAAAACAGGCGGGAAAAGACGGAAGAATCTTTCGAGCAATGCCAGAAGAAACTTCTAAGGGTAGTCAAAACAACTTTCTGGGAGGAATCGGAAAAACTTACGGGTTAAGGTGGAACAAAATTCCAGGGGAAAGTTGGAACAAACTTCTTCAGGAAGTTAAAAAAATATACATTTTGATAGATCTTTTTTCCTAGTAAAGAAGACCCCATTGGAGTGAAGCTCCTTTCAAGCCTCTTCTCCGATAGGCATAAAACCTTCAATGTTTTATTACGAAGTTTAAAATAGATGCACTTTCCAGTTGCCTAATTTCTCTATCTTCCTATCTAATAATAGACCGCGTTGCTAGTTGGAGAACACGAGAGCATCCCAGCCAGGCTTGTATTTTTTCCTTGGATTTGTTTTCCGTGCTGAGTACCAATGCTACCGACGCCAGGAAGGCAGCTCCCACACCTGGACCCTACCTATCGACTAATCAACTCATGAACCGTGGAGCAACGGCTTTACTTCCCTTCCGAAGGCGTGATCAGAGATGTTATGCCTCAGAACATCCCGGCGGTGCCGACTGGGATTGAACCCAGGCCTGCTGGGGTGAGAGGTAATCACGCTTACCACTACACCACCGGCGCCGCTATCAGCCAGTCTTGTAAGCGGTTACCGTAGTTGACGCATTTTTTGTGATAATCGACTGCCTTTGCTTCCGACACTTACAAACCAAGCTATCAAATTACATTTTCAAACTAAAATGTCATATGACAGGCTCTGTCATACGACACTGTTGGCGAAAACCGTCACGAATGTATGTTTTTTAGTTTTTCTCATAATAAGAGCTGTTGATGTTGTGCTTGTGTGAATTCTGAAAATAGCAAGCAACGATGTCCTAGAAACAACATTTTTGATCAGAAATGATTTAATTTACTCCAAATTGAGGAATTAGAACAAAATCACACATGTCATATGATAGTTGTTGTTGTTTGATAATTTTATTTTTCCTCGAATGTTGTTCTACCGTTTGTGTTGCGTGAGAGAGACGACGGTAGAGCATGAGTGTACGAATACAAACAGACTGTCACGCACGACATCGAAGCGAGTGTAGTAAAAAACGTCAACTGTTTCAACCCCTGATCCCAGCTAACAAGTTTAGTTTCAGATAAGCTTATACAGGCAAAACTCCCTCCCCTTGGCTAGTTTTTGCACCTTGCTGTTGGTGGGCGGGCTTAATTTCATGCTTTATAGTGGAGTGTTGGAGACGGTAGGTTTATGGCCGGCGTGGCTGGCTCATGCCGCGATAGAATGGCGTCATGGGCAGGCAATGGGGATTACTAAGCTTCCCCTCTCTGATAAACCACTGCATGAGAGAACCAAAGATCTAGTCTAGCAGTGATAGTATCACACTTGTTACTCCTTTTATTGAGAGCCGCGTCGTAGTACGCTTACGTATAGGCACTGACGTTGGGTGTGATACTGGCGGGTTTTGCCGCAAATCACTCTTATTTTATTTATTTTTACGGAGATAGATTTATTTGGGTTTGCAAGGGAATTATACTATTGAAATATTTCAGAAAGTGCCCAACGGTGCTCCTTCTATTTGCGTGACAAGCTTTCATTGTTTTTTTCATTGAAGTATTACTCAGGAAACAATGTTAAACATCATTTTTGTACATGATATTGTAACTAATCTTATATGTGCTTCATTTTGATTTGAACTATGGCTCGAGATTTCCACTGTGGTGTGCTTCTATTGTGACATACCCATATGTATTTTTGTGGTGCGACATAGTGGAAACGTGAGAGCGTAATTGGAGCATATACTCTATATAATTTAAAAATCAGCTAGGAAACTAACTTCAAAATGAAGCATTTTAGTCACATGAAGGTGTTACCTGTGTCGACCGAAGATATAATAAATAGGTATAGGTCAAAATCAAAAGTACTTGAAACACGTTTAATTTTAGATTACAAGCACAAGTGCAGGTACTTAATAAAGCATGGGTTATGCTTGATTAGGTGAATTAGAGCTTTTAATAATTTATTAAATTAGACTAATGAGATATCATAATCATCAAATGAACTTCAATAAGAAACTTCAGAAAGTCTAATGACATTAAGTAGATTAACAAAAGAATTAGGATGCGGGGGGTCCGCTTAGAGAGGCAACTAACCTTTAAAGTTGTAGAATAAATCTTCTTATTTAGTCTTGAACTTTAAAAAGAAAACGCAGGCAGACCAATAGCATTGAGCAGATTAACAGGGAGAGGAGTGGTTTGGGAAATAAGTAAAAGTAGAGGTGTGTGACAATTGATAGCTTTTGGACTTTTGGAGGTGTTGTGTTCCCCTGAGTTTGTTGTACTCGATTACTATATAATTCTCTCAATACGCGAAATCTCTTATATATGCGGTTAAAGCATTTGAGTTGACTTATTTCTTAGTGTTCAAGTGCTTACATTTGTGAACAGCAGTCAATGTTAATCTATGAACTAGACCATACGTAAAATCGATCTTTTCTTATGTGGTATTGATGCATGTTTAACTTTTCGCGGCTGTCGGAATCAACGCGCCTACGTCTTCGGAGCTTATGCAGAAGTGATTCGCAATGCGGTAGAGCCATAGAGGTAATTCTAAGACTAGAAGGTCCCGAAATAACGTGCTCAACTTTTCGGCTCAGCTCTGGTACTCTCTTCGGTCCCAAGCTAATCGATTCACCCCTCGAAACATAGGAAAAACCAATAACCCCTCATTTTATCCGTCAAACTTTCATAGCGAATCAAAACAAACATTGCGTAGTACTAGAATTTCGACTAGAACAGGGTACGTTAACCGTTTGCTTGGGACCAATAGGCTACTAAAATGGTGAGCCAATTTAAAATCGTTAGTTTCGTATTGATTGTTGGTAGAGCTCACCAAAAGTTTTTTTTTGAGCTTCTGTAAAGGGTGTCCACGATGAAATTGCCACACTATGAAATTGCTCTAACTTTTTAACCGTTGGGTAGAATTTAATGAAAATTTGGGTGGATTTAGTTCATAGTGCATTATTTACATCCTGCAAGTTTTAAAGTCCTGTGATCAAAACTCGCGGAAATGGAGTCGAAAGAACAGCTCGTGCGTGATAAAATCTTGCGCATTCATCACGAGAACAAGGATCTCTCGCATCGTTCCATCGCTAAAACGTTGGGAATCGCGAATTCCACGGTGTCGCGAGTGATTAAGCGGTTCGAGGAACGGTTGACCACCGATCGGAAGCCCAGAAGTGAAGGAAAAAGTATTCCGTACAACACCAAAAATCACAACCGCGTAGTTGGGGCCTTCAACCGAAATCCGAACGCCTCCGTTAGGGATGTGGCTAAGAAGCTGCACCTAAGCCGAACTAAGGCTGGGCTTC